CGCTTGGCTTCCACCATTTGTAGACATCAGTCTGCAGAATTTAGGTAAAACTGTAAGCACACGCCAGGATAGTTTTTCAATAACGCACAAAGATATGTCAACCCAAATATTTTAATAACTTGCAAGAAAAATATTCAGTCCTGCTTGAAATTTTGATCATATAGACGGATACAAAACTCGCACAGGATAGAGAATATTTCTTGCCCAAATAAAGACATCTTTACGCATCGAAGCACAAAGATGGAAGTAAATACCTGAACACTACGTAAACGGAAATAGAAGAACAAAATATCACCTGGCCGAAACAGAAAACTGGAACCAGTGGTTTGCCCGTCTCTATGGCAATTCGTACAAATCCTTTTCTTCTTTGAAGGTAGGCAATCTATCACAGGTTAAGAGAGCAATAAGATTTAACCCCTCTCGATCCCAGCACACACAGTAAAGGATATGAAATAATCTCAATTTCACACATTGTTTTCCCCAACAGGAACATAAGATGCATAGAAATTCTTTTACCATGCCATCAGTCCCAAACGTACTATAATTTCTGGTCACATAAGAAAGAAAAACTAGACCTCTTTCCTCAAATATCAGATCGTTTACAATCCAATGAAGAGAGTACTTGTTGAAAAGAGAGTAGAGCTTATATACTCTTTTGATGAGTTCCTACTAGTTATTCCTGATCAAAACTCCTTTTTGTGGGTGCATCTACTTGGTCTTACCAGGAGTTAGGAAGAAATGTGGTGAGTATAGCATAATATACTGGTTTGGAAAATACAATCAAGTTTCGAGATTGAACCTCTGATCCGTGTTCCATATAGAATGCCTCTTGAACTCCACCTGGCACTATGATGCAGCTGTAACCAGATGCCAAGAGGGATTTAAAATTTTTCCTTGTTACTGGTGCAAGTCCTAACCATGTCCAGATATGCCGCAAGAAAGGTGTATAGAACACCTGTCAATGTTTCTTCATAGTAAATGCTACAGATGAAAATAACACTATGTACAATTAAAATATAAGAACAAGGAATCAAGTCATACAGCAGTACTCGCAAGCACTTTGATTTTTGGGAGAGGCATGAAACCAGTAAGATCAGCAAGGGAAACCGCCCCAATAGGCCAAACGGAATGTGGCTCATACCCAAAAACTGTAAGTAACAACATCTGAGTTAGTCTGAAGAACAGGAACTGAAGATTTCTGATTTTCCATTAATGCGACAAGCACTCAGAATGATGTATCTAGTTCCTCGTAGAAACAGATATCATCTGCCTACAATGGAAAGGATGTGAGCAAGCGCCCCTTCAAAAAGAAGTGGATAATGGGAGTAATATATTATTATTCACAGTAGAGAAAAGAAACAAGGAAAACAAAAGAGGAAATTTTAGAACATAAGCAAGCAAGAGAAATAAAGATTCGAGGACTGAATTACCCAAACTATAGAATACTCAACAAAACAACAGAGTAAGAGAAGAGGACCAAGAGAGCAAGAGCACAGGAGGATTTCTTTTCATTTGGCCCCTTAATAATTAAAGTATACTCATTTGTTCTATTTTCTTTCAAACATATTTTCAAATCCTTAAAAAGAAATTTACTTCGAAGGGGAAATTTTCTTGTTATGGTCCTATATTTCATTTGTTCTAGAAATGCAAATTTCACACGCCAACACTTAAGGGCCAAGACCACGTGATATAGATTTAAACCTGTCTAATTTAATTCTTCACAAGACACCAAGCAAATAGAATCAGAGTCAAATGATATAAAATCGTTTTAGAAAGAGTCACAGAAAACAGGCTGAGTGGTTGAGCTAATAACAAAATGAAACAAAATAATGTATCCATCCAGCCTCCGCAAGTGGATACAAAGACTGAGAAGCTATGTTCCTAAGAATGGAGATTGCTATAGTGAGAAATTTATCAACAGAAGTGCATCAAAGTAGAAGTCTCTAGACAGCATTTAAGCTAGTTAGAAGTCAACTATGGTTTAGACAAAAGCAAGCCTCCCAAGCTGACACAGGTTTACATAACTTGTCATCTAAAAGCAATAGCATTGGTCAACTTATGTTGAAGCAAGTACACTAATCACTGTTTTGATTGAGATTGCAGTTGATTGGTTATTACCTTCAATTTACTTCCTCCGTTTCAATTAATTTATTTTACTTTCATGTTTAGTGTATTTAAAAAAGAATGCATATTTTCCTTTTGTTGGTAACTCTTAAATTCTAACTTTCCACGCAACATGTTTAAGATTAAAGAACATTTTGGAACATTCTACGTATCTTCAATTTAAGACTACAAGATTCGAAAGTCTTCTACACTTCCTTAAACTCAATGTCAAATCAAAACCAGACAAAGTGAAACAGAGGGGGGAACATATTTACATGACAACAATCACACAATTATGCCAAGAAATGTACGGCTTTATGACGGATATAGATAGCTTGGTAATCCCCAATGTTTCCAAGTGATCAAGTGAATTGCAAGTTCATGAGCACACACAAAAGTATAAACTTTAATCAGCCCCTGATGTTTTATTGGAGTCTGCCTAAAATAGAAAAGTGGGGACTACAATTTTTTGCAAGCTATCATTCCGCAGGCAAGACAGCTGCAAATAGACTAACCAATTATAGCAGAAACACTGTGCAAGTCTCTTCTTATACAAAAGAGAAAAAACTAATTCACAATGGGAAATGCATGACAGGTTAGTTGATTCCCCAACCCCCAACTCAAATTAAAGAAAGTTGATTTCTTTATTCTTATCGAGGATGGATAGTAGTCACTAATTTTACCGTAAGCCTCATTAGGATCAAATGCTTTGATGTCCTCTACATACAAATGCACCGGAAAATAGCCACAAGCATGCTTACAGATGTACCTGAAGAACCCCAATTTTCAGCATGAATAATACAGCAGAAACCCAATAGTTTCCACTTAATCAGATAAATACTAAATTGCACCCACAAAAAAACACTTACCTAGCTAATCTTCGCCCCAAATTATTTTTCTCATCAATCGGAATGAGAATAAGTATAAGCAATATTCCTATAACTCTGAAACAAAATTTCAACAAAGTCAAAGTCAAACTCAAACTACTGGGAAGAAAGAAATAAGAGATAGAGAGAAAGTAAAGAGAAAACTAACATACATGAGTGCTTTGGAGAAAGGAAGAAAAACAAAGGAAGCAATAAGGATTAAGAAGTTGAAATGGACGGAGCCAAGCCATAAGACCAACGCCAATACGGTGTAAAATAATGACCCGGAATTTGTCCCTTTAAACTCCACCGGCGTCGGAGTTGACGGCGGCGCCGGTTTTTGATGAATTACAGAATCGTCATCTCGTATAGCCATGGGTGAAAATTCAAATCGAAACGAATAAAACAGAAAAAATTAATATGAAATTAAAGAATTGGTTATGAATTTATAGGAAGAAAGTTGGGAATCATGCAGTAGCTAATTTCCCTTTTTTTAGATAATAAAGAGTAGTGTTGGTTGTGTTGGTTGTAGAATTGATGATGTTGTTCCAGTGACTTCGCGTCGAAAGCATCGACTTATTTTATTAATATTAATATTAATTCGTTCACTTTTAATTGTTATTATTTTTATTTTTATAATTAAATTATAAAAGCTTTAATTAACAATGTATTTTTTCATATATAAAAAAATTATAATTTATATTATTTTTGATATAAATTTTAAATATCTGAATTTTTTATTTAAAATATTAATTTAATTTAATCTTAAAAATTAATTAATTTAAAAATGTAACATAACAACTAACAAGTGGAGGACGAGAGGATAATTTTGATTTTTGTGAGTTGTGATTTTGAAGTCAGCGCGTGGAATTTACATAAAACACGTGGTTTCTACAGAGAAAATGACAGCCTGATAAAACATGGGTCCTTTCTTCATTCTAGTGGTCACGTACGAAGGTTAAAAATATTTATTTTGTCAAAAAGATATTATTCATTTTGTTTTATTTCGATTTTTTACTTGTCCTTTTTTATTTGTTATTTTTTTATAAAAATAATATTCTTTATCTATAAATTCTTCAATTTCTTTAGAGAGTTAATGTTTTTTTTTTTAAAAAAGGTAGAATCTTTTTAATGAATAAACTTAATTTTGGAATTCTATCAATTACTAGGGATAAAATGATAAATTCGCTATGTCAATTATTATTATTTTCTTAATAAGTGTGTCAAGTTAAAAATAGACAAATAATACATTATTTTCCTCGTGCTAAAAGCTAATTACATTATTTTCCTATTTGTTTTCAAATTAATAAAAATCTCATAAAACTTATGAATTTCAGATACATCACTGGACTTCTGGATACATCAACAAACATCCGATACATAAGGGAGGATGTATCAAAGAGAAGATAGGGATGTATAAGAGAAGAGATAGAACATCCAGATTCATAAGGGAGTGATGTATCTGGAGGGGATATGATGTATCAACGAAAGGAAAGTGATGTATTCGAGAGAGGATTTTTTTTTAATGGTGGCAAAATAAAATGTGTATTTAGGTGATTTTTCCAAAAAATGTATTACTCCCCTGTTCACTTTTACTTGTCACTAATTTCTAAAATAGATTTTCATTTTTAGTTGTTATTTTTGACATATCAAGAAAAGATAATGTTTTTTTTTCATATTTTACCCATAACATTAAATACTATTCTCCATATCATTCTTTAAGACCCAATACTTAACATTTATTAGTAGGAATTTTACGGTAAAATACTTATATGAATAATTGTTTTCTTAATGTGTGTGTCAAGTCAAACAACGACAAGTAAAAACAAATGGATGTAATACTTTTTTCTAGGAATCAAATTGTTTGGCCAAAATTGTTTTGAAAAGAAACTAAAAAAATCTATTTTTTACAACAAAAATAAATTAGAAAATTATTTTTTCCAAGATTAAAATATTGTTACCATATATACATATTTAAAATAATTTATCTTTATAAAATAACTATCTCTTTGAAGAAGGACGAACTCTTCTTTATATACACAATTTTCTGTACGAAATTGGAAGAAGAATTGCTGCTTTCAAGCGTGAACCAGGTCCAGGATTCGGACTAGGAATTGCTATTTTTTCCGATGCAGTTAGCTCTATTCCCTGACCTGAGGGCGGGAACCGTCTTATCTTAGGGTATATTTTTTCATAATTTGACTCTCCAAAACATTTTTTTTTAAAACTTAATCAAACACAATTTATTTATTGAAGCAAATTAGCCAAAAACGAATTAGCCTAAACCAAATTATTTATTTCAAATTGAACTTTCTAGCAACAAAAGTCTCTTTTTCAGCCAAACATTTTGGCAAATGTCTCTTTTACAACCAAACATGTTACAGGCCGTATATACAACAACAACAACATACCCAGTGAAATCCCACTAGGTGGGGTCTGGGGAGGGTAGAGTGTACACAGACCTTGCCACTACCTCGTGGAAGTAGAGAGGCTGTTTCCGAAAGACCCTCAGCTCAAGTACATCAAATCCAAGTAGAAGGCGAGGAAAATAGTGTATAAAACATACCATCCAATAAGAAAGATAGTATACAATCAACAAAGGAGACAGTAACATCCAAAGAACAATGCGATAAGTGAAACGCAGTAAACAACAAACGGCTAGGACTGCTCCAAACGCTAACAACCCAAACCCTCGCAAGGGAAGACAACCCGCTAACCCTACTAACCTTCAACCTTAATACGCGACCTCCACTCCTTCCTATCTAGAGTCATGTCCTCGGTAATGTGTAGCTAGGCCAAGTCCTGTCTAATCACCTCTCCCCAATACTTCTTGGGCCTACCTCTACCCCTCCGCGTACCCTCTACAACCAGCCCCTCACACCTCCTCACTGGGGCGTCTTCGCACCGTCTCTTCACATGTCCAAACCATCTCAGTCTCGCTTCCCTCAGCTTGTCCACCACAGAGGCCACTCCCACCTTCTCCCGGATAACCTCATTCCTAATCTTATCGCTCCTAGTGTGCCCACACATCCATCTCAACATCCTCATCTCCGCAACATGCATTTTCTGAACATGTGAGTTCTTGACTGGCCAACACTCCGCTCCATACAACAAGGACGGTCTAACTACCACTCTGTAGAACTTACCTTTAAGTTTAGGCGGGATTTTCTTATCACACAAGACTCCAGAGGCAAGCCTCCATTTCATCCAAGCAGCCCCAATGCGATGTGTGACATCATCGTCGATGTCACCACTTTCTTGGATTACAGACCCAAGATACTTAAAACTTTCTTTCTTAGGAATGATTTGTGTGTCAAGTCTCACTTCCCCATCTGCCTCATCCAACGCCTCACTGAATTTGCACCCCAAATATTCTGTTTTGGTCCTACTCAACTTGAACCCTTTGGACTCAATCGTTTGTCTCCACACTTCCAACCTCGCATTAACTCTGTCCCGCGTCTCATCAATCAGTACTATGTCATCCGCAAATAACATACACCATGGGGACCTTCTCTTGAATAGACCGCGTCAACTCATCCATCACCAAAGCAAATAGAAAAGGGCTAAGGACTGATCCTTGGTGCAACCCCATCTCAACTGGGAAAAGTTCCGAGTCACCTCCAACCGTTCTAACCGGAGTCTTGGCTCCACCGTATATGTCCTTTATCGCCCTAATATAAATCATCGGGACACCTTTTAGCCTCCAGGCACCTCCAAAGGACACTCCTCGGTACTTGTCATAGGCCTTTTCAAGGTCAATGAACACCCTTCCTCTCTCTATATTTTTCTACCAGTCTTCGCATAAGATGAATGGCTTCGGTCGTCGACCATCCCGGCATGAATCCAAACTGATTCTCAGAAATGGACACCCCTCTTCTCACCCTCATCTCCACCACTCTCTCCCAAATCTTCATAGTATGGCTTAGCAATTTGATACCCCTGTAGTTGTTACAGTTCTGGATATCACCCTTGTTTTTATACAACGGAACCATCGTACTCCACCTCCATTCATCAGGCATCTTTGCTATCTTAAAAATAACATTAAACAACCCAGTCAACCACTCTATACCTGCCTTGTCCGTGCTCTTCCAAAAATCCACCGGAATCTCATCGGGTCCGGTCGCTCTTCCCCTGCTCATCCTACTAATAGCAAGTATAACCTCCTCGATCATAAAATACCTGCAATACCCAAAGTCCCGAAGTCTTTCCGAGTGTGCCAAATCACCCAACACAATGTCTCCGCCCTCTTTTTCATTTAAAAGTTTGTGAAAGTATCTTCACCATCTCTGTTTGATGGATGTCTCATCCACCAATACTTTGCCTTCCTCATCCTTGATACACTTCACTTGGTCCAAGTCGCGAGCCTTCCTCTCTCTTGCTTTTGCGAGCCTATACAATTTCTTATCCCCACCTTTGTCCCCCAGCTCGACATACAAGCATTCGAAAGCTGCCGTTTTAGCCTTCGTAACTGCTAACTTAGCTTCTGTCTTTGTCGTCTTATAGACTTTCTTAAGCGTCCGCTTCTCTTCCTCGTCTACACACTCCACCAACTTTGTGTATGCAGCCTTCTTCGCTTCCACTTTGCCTTAGACTTCCCCATTCCACCACCAATCTCCTTTATGGCCTCCAAATTTACCCCTTGACACCCCTAACACCTTTGAAGCAACTTCCCTAATGCAACTAGCTGCTTTATTCCACATGGTGTCCGCGTCCCCGCTACCACTCCAAGCCCCCATCCCACTCAACTTCTCACCCATCTCCCGCGAAAGGTCAGGGGTCAAGCCACCCCATTTAATCCTCGGTCGATCAGGTACAATCTTCTTCCTCCTATCCCTCTTAATTTCCAGGTCCATCACCAAAACCTTGTGTTGGGTAGTACAATTTTCACTTGGGATAACCTTGCAGTCCTTAACGAGGCCTCTATCACCCTTCCTAAGGAGTAGGTAATCTATCTGAGTCTTAGCTACCGAGCTGTTACAAGCCGTATATACGTTGGGTTAATTTAGATTTTTTAAATGTCAAATAAATTAGTTGCCTCAAACTTCAAAATTTATAAATTATGTTAATAAAAAAAAAGTTCTTATCAGTTTTTTTTTTTCTGATAAAGTTTATATATAATAAATATATAATTGTGCTTCAATTTTAATTTTTTTAATAAGATAAAATAATTTGAAGTATTTCTTTAGAAAATGTGAGATGAGTGATGATTATATTAAAAAATACTAACAAAAATAATAATTAAATTACATAAAGTAAATATTATTAATTAATAAGTCATAATGAAAATGATTATAATCTAAAATTACTAAATCACATTAAACTATATACAATTAATAAATAGTAATTATATGACTAAATATTTAAAATAAAGTTATGTACTGACACTATTTAAACAAATGCAAGATTAAAGAGTGATTATTTAACATAATATCCTTCTTAATGTTGAATTACGGCATTAATATTAATTTGATTTTGATTTTTAAACTTTTATTTAAATTACTACTAATATTATTGAGCTATAAATTTTATTGAATTTATTTTGCCAGCGTATAGCCTCTAGCCGCAGGCTACGTATTGATTTTATTTTTTATAATAAAAAATTAAGAAAACTAGATCTATGTTACCTACTCCCATTAAACTATACTTTTTTTTAAGATAGCATTGCTAACCTAGACTGGATTCTAATTGATCAGATTAAATACCTAGATTAACTAGAGGTTATTCAACGAACTCTAATAAATTATCGACCCATTTTTGATACTATATATGATTTCTTGTTGTTCTTGGAACGAACACTCATGTGTATGTGATAAATACGGGGGCAAAGCCAAAATTCTAGCTACGAATTTGTTGCAACTAATGAGTACTTATTTTCACTTAAATTATACTATATGTTATAATTTTTACAAAATTTGGGAAGCTGTTAGTTTAAAAATTCAAAATTTTGAATCCGCTTTTATTTGAATGCGGATTCATATATGTACAGTTTTATCCACCCCACACCCTTTCAAAACAAATTGTGCATGGCCAAAACAATTTGTTTCCTAAATGACAGGTCAATTTTCATGAACTAAAGTTAAGGGGCGTTTGGATTGGCATTTTTAAAGTTATTTATAAGTTAAAGTTAAAATTCATAAGTTGGGAACACTCAAATTTTTATTTTTAACGTTTTGGGTATTTTTTCAGCTTTAGAAAGTGTTTTAAAAAAAAATACTGTTTGAATTAGTCAAACATTTTCAAATTAAAAAATAACTTAAAAGTAAAAAAATAATTAAAAATAAATCAACCCAAACACATTCATATACCCATAATGACTTAAAGAAGATTACAACATTAATATGTATGATAGGATAACACAAAGTCATCACTCCTTCGTTGAACGATCGCCGATCGAGGGCATTGTAATAGTATACAATTTTGGAACCCTCATGGGTTTTGCAGTCGACCATTTGATAGCCCTGTATATTATTGATATAAACTTAACATTCAAGTATGTCTTTCTGAAGGTGTAAACCGAATGATACATTAAGCAAAATATTAGGTAAGTAAAAGAATCCAGTCCCACGTGTATTGTATTTAGGCAAAGTCTATATTTCTCACCTCTAATTTGATTCTTCTGACATCTCATGATCCCCGTCTAATTTGTTACTGTTTCATTAGTTAGTTTTTCTATTTGAGTTTGTTATAAATAATCAATTTAATTTGTTGTTGTTAAATATTTGAAGTAGTGTTTACTCCAACTTCGGTCGGATTTGTTGTTGCGATACTAAACTTTCATACGGACCTATTACCTCCAAAGACTATTTAATACCGTATTTTTTACCCCTGAACTATTTAATAGTGTATTTTAAAGATATATATGTGCCCACATGGACACATTGCTATTTATAATTTCACATTATTTTTTATGTTCACGTGGGCAAATATAAATGTTTAAAATACGGTATTAAATAGTTTAGGGAGGTAATATGTCCTCATGAAAGTTTAGTATCGCAACAACAAATCTAATAAAAGTTGGGGTATTTTTCAGACCCTTATCCAACATTATATATATCAAATAATAGATCAATTGTCCAAAAACAATTTTTCAAATACTTGGTGCACTTACTTATATTTAGAGTAGAAAAAAAAATAAAGAATAGAAAAGGTAAGGGGGAAAAAGTCAATAAGGATACATATTTGGCATTTTTAGTGCTATTGCTAGAGTACTCTCTATAATTTAACTTTTAGGCTACACATTTTATTGAGCAGCATTTCATATTTAGCTTGATAGATATAACTCTAATTTTCTCATGGATCATAGACCATCGTTCTAACTTCTAAGCTAGCTTAACGTTTCCTCATCGTTCATTATTATATATACAATCATGCTTCCACGTATAAAATAAGTTGCTTAATTGGTTGAATTTTTTGCAGAACTCTTAACTATTAATTAAGAGATGCAATTGTTTCGTTTTTCATGTATTTTTGTAAAAATATAAAGTAGTATATCATAAAAAGACCATATCCCTTTTTTAAATGTGAAATACTACAAGTCAAATCATTATCCAATATTCACATTATCTTGCTCCTGCCAGCATTGATATCTCTCTTTATTACTTTGACAATCACCAAAAGATCTCTGCAGCCTAGATTATTGCACAAGATCAAGTCACCCACTCATTTTTATAAACGATATGTTAGTATTTTTAGCTCGAACTTTATGTATATAGTACGAAAATTAAATATTCATATAAAATTTAGTTAGATCATTTTCTATAAATTCATAATAACAAGAAAACGCCTAAATTTTGAATCTGCTAGCCGACAGGTATGTTGGATGAGAAAATCATAAGCAATCAATCCACTTGAAGCTTAAACAAGTACAAATTGCAAGTACTGGGAATATAATTAAATTACATACATATTTTCAAATTTTAATTACATCCCAATCGAAGCCAGCTGCCAAGGCGCCATTTTTTCTTTGTCATTTTAGCATTACCAACAACTTTATCTGATTTCTCACTACTTAAAGATACTGTCGACGCTTCTTCCTGTAAAATATATAACAATATATATTATTAATATTAGCCAATAATCATATGTTGTAACAAATTAAAGAACTGATCATGTATTAATTGTTATATATAGACACAAGCCTATATATTGTCTAAACAAGGATGAACCTAGGCTTTGATACCATGTAAAGATATGACCCCTGAGATTAACTCAACCCGAAAAGCTAACTCATGAAAGGAGGATTGCTCAAGTCCATATAAACAGACCACTAATCTATCCCCCAACCAATGTGAACTCTTACCTAGTCTAACCGTTTCACTTGAGTAACACTTAACATCAAGGATGCTTTTGAAGAAAAGAAGTGATAAATCTTCTTATTTTTATTTAAAAAGGAAAATATATTCCGCTTATCAGTTGGTTGGTTGACTATCTAGACTTTCATTTTATCTAAACGTTATTTATTTACCTGGAGTTGTTTATGTTTGAGATTGGCCTTTTCGTCTTCGTTGTCATGATTTCTTGACCTGGATGAACTCGACCTTGATGTTTTCTCTTCTTCCATTTCTAAGCTCAGCTGCAACTAAACAACACAAATCAACATTTTATATATTACATATGTTATTATCTTAGTTTGACTGAACACAGAGTTTTAAAGAATAATAATGACTTTTGAATCAATCTTCTAATTATCTTAAACTAAAAATACGTGTAATATGTATTAAAACATTCTTTAATCTTACGATCTTAAACCTTAAAGACTCGATTCTCGAGTGCAGTGAGTCGATCAACAAGAGTGCCTTTGTGATGAACTTGTTGAAGTGCAGTAGAAAGACTCAGAGTACTGCTGCAGTACTCTGAGTCTTCTTCTTCTCCTTTCTCATTTTTTGGTGACATCCCATGTTTCTCTTCCAGAACCTGCAGCTGCATTATATGTCACGAAAAGTCGTGAACATCTATTTTTTAGTATAATGAACAAATAAAAGTGAACAGAGGAAGTAGTTACTTACTAGGAAATCGAGGCGATCTAATCTTGGAAGAACAGGTAAGGAAGAAGCTAAGTCTTTACTATCTAGATGCTTCATTTTTATTAGCTAGAGATGTTAATGGATGGAAAATGTAGCTAAGTTTTTAAAGATGGTGATGACTGAAGAAGAGGATGGTGATTTTTAAATAGAAGTGACATAATATGAAAGTGAGGAGAGGGGAGTTGGGTTTATTAATTATTGGCAACTCCTATGCCATACCCTCATGTCACCATGCTAGATTGGCTTCATCATTGCTCTTTGACTTGTACTCTTTTTTTCCCTATCATTGGTGAACAATAAATTGGGATGAGTCTGAATCTGATACTATACAAATAGATGGATTATGGATCTAATTTAATCCCAAAAGCTAACTTATGAAGAGAAGTTTATCTAAATAATTAAATTCTCATTGCTCTACGGATGTCGAACTTCTTAACAAGTATGTCTTTTGAGAATTAAGCATTTTTAAGAATGAATCATTCTTTAATACAAAAGTATAGTTAGAAACAAATGTGATTTTTTGTTTAAAATTTTTAGAACCATACTTATTTTTTGGTTGTTGCTAAAATGATACTTATTTTAAGAGGGAATAATTTTTTAAAATTTTTTTTCGTTTGGAATCTTATCTCATAGTGGCCTATCTAATTTTCTATTCTATTCTACCATATTCTACTATATTATAAAAGAGAGTTTAGGGCCAAGTATAATATATAATATTCAAGATTGGGACTTTCTTGAATATTATATATTATATTTATTATATAGTAGAACTT